ATTCCAAAATAAAAAAATAAAAAAAAAAAAAAATTTTTTAGCAGCCGGCTGGAAAAAATTTTCTCACCAAAAAGGTGGGAAAATTTTTTCCTCAAAAACATGGAAAATGCTGACGTGGCGGGTTGGGGAGGAAAATATTTTCCGTGGAAAATTTAGGCTATCAAACAGCGCAAAAGATGGAAAATGGAAAAATTTTCTATGGAAATTGTGGCTAATCAAACACAGCCTTAGGAAAAGAGAAGTTTTTTTCCTGCTAAAAACCATGTAATACCTTGCATTATAGTCTATAGATGTTATTTCATCTGAAAATTTGCCGTTTGATGGAGGAAATGATATGCTTAATATTTGCATTTAAACTGCAGTACTAACTGGTATGGGAGCATAAAATGTTGGGCTTTACTCTTCGAAGCCCTATATTCATATCTTTTTCATCTTGTTTTGGCACTCAGTCCAGCCCACCAACGGGGCAGACTACCCAACACAAACCATAACAAGCTTGCAATTTGAAATCAATCCTTGAAGCATTCATCTAGCAATGATTTTGAACATATTAACTGTTCTGATTCGTAAATATTTTTCTTGTTCTTCTGAAAAAATAATAAGCTAGGCACAGGACTCACATTTTCTTGACACGCCTCTGGGTAACTCGCAAACCGTTAGAAATGAACCACATACAGACACTTAGCGTAACGCATGTCAACCTTGGCAGGAAAAAGTCTCACTAGTAATATGGTTACATGTTAATGTAATTTAGGGTGTGTTTCTCTCCCATTATTGGGAGAAAAATAGAGTAATAAATAATAATTTTTGGGGAATGTGTGGATGAAATTTAAAAGTACCTTTATTGGTTTGGGTGTAGAATATTTTATTGGATGAATGTGTGGTGGAGAATCTTACTGTAGCAAACAACTTTTTGGAATAATGATAGACAAACAAAGGCTTAAATAGATGTCCAGGCCAAAAAACTGATGTTTCGGAGCACAATTTTTATCTCCAAAATAGAAACAAAATACAGTGCAGGCCTAAATGAAAATGGATCGACTAAACCACTTACTGTAAGATTTTTGGACACAAAACAAGAATCCTAAGAAACATACTTCACTTCTTCTTCTCATGACCGCCTCCAGCAGCTCTGCACCAAATAATATAGCAAGTGGCTATTAAAAACTAATCTCCGACTAGTTGCAGTTGTGATCAGATTACGATTATGTAGTGATTTCAATTTGATGGAAAACGTAAATATAGCACTAGCACGGTTATCTTTTAATGACGGGATAAGGGATGAAATGTCATCTAAGGAAATTACCTCATCTTACGGAGGACGCTTGACATCTCCTCTCTCTTCTTCTTTGCCCTCTTGTGAGTGCCCAACTTTCTCTTAGCTACCTTCAAAGCTCGCTTGTCCTTTCCAACTTTAAGAAGCTCAGTAATTCTCTTCTCATATGGTGCAAATCCAGCAACTTCTCTTATAAGACTCCTAGCAAAGTGCACTCTTTTGCTTGTTTTCTGAGGGAATCAACAGTGAGAAATCAACAAAAGACAATTACCAAACTTTGCATACAGAAGGACGAGAGTTGCCATTTCACTTATCAGAAAATACACTGTTGAATTGCAAACAGAGATCAAAAAAGTCAAATTAACCCCTGTAGTATTAAGAGAAAAATAGCCTGACCATTTTTCATGTTTTTTTCTTAATTTTTTTATAGCATGTTTTTTCTGACTTCTACTAAAAAGACCATTTCCTCAATTAGCTGATTTTTTTTGAGAAGTAATCTTGTGGAAAATATGTGGTTAAAAAGTAACAAGGGCTTAATTAGCAAACGAAGGCTATCCGAGTAATTCAAGAGGCAAGAGCTTGATGTGTTAAAAAATAGTACAAAAACTAAACCACAAAATAAAATCAAATTCAAGAGACAAAAAGTCAGACCTATCAAATTAAACATGCAAAAAAGCAAAGAAAACACTTAACAGGCAGAAAATCATAGAACTATCAAATTAAATTGGCAAAAAAAAACATAGAAAACACTCACGCCTTTCCTAGCGGATGGACGTGGAGCTAATTCCTTGCTAGTCACAATGTGGCCCTTGTTCAAACCCACAAATAAGCCAGTGTTTGGCTGCTTTGGAGCCATTGCCTTCTCTATGACACTTCTGATCTATGATGCACGGAAAGAAACTTCAAAAAGGCTAGCAATTTGGAGACGTTTCAGAAATCAAAACTCTTCAGAAACTCAGAAATGCTTCAGAAGCTTTCAGGAAACTTTACAAAAGCTTAAGAAATAAGTGAACAAACAAATAAACCAGAATTATGGGTTTAAACTTTCCCTCAAAACAATGAACAGGTAATTGAGATTTTTTTTTCCAATGGCATATGAATAATCTCCTCTAAGATGGCATAAAGCATCAACTTAATTTTTTAATTTGAATGATTCTATTCTTTCTAATATTTAATTCACGTCAAGTTGCATTTCTAAAATTAAATGTTGACATTATATAGAAAGTGATTTCGACTATAATGTTTTTTTTTTATGGCCCCGTTTGGTACGGATTCTCCAATCATACAGTAAATCAATTCTCATTTTCAACTCCACATTCTTCAAAAAAACCTCATAAATGGGGATCTCAAGCAATATTAAGGCCCCGTTTGGTACGGATTCTCCAATTCTACAGTAAATCAATTCTCATTTTCAACCACACATTCTTCAATAAAATAATATTTTCCATCACATCAATAATCTTATCTTCTTTTTCAACCACACATTTCCCATCATATCACTATTCAAAATCAATTCTTCCCCCAAAAAAATCCCTACCAAACAAGCTCTATATATATAAAACTTTCACACCGTACTCATTTTCAGAAATTTTTAGCTTGACATGAGAATTGCACCGAAGAATTCATATAATGTCCTATAAGTAAATCAACATAACTAGCAAGGTATATTTATACTGGAATAAGCAGAAACATGTTCCCACAAGTAGCGAAGATTCCGAATAAAAAACACAAAATTTATTATCAAACTTTTTTAATAATTTTCAATAATACAGAGATTAGATACAGTATATAAGAACATGCATATACATCTATTGATCTAAATATCAAGCGTGTAAATGGCGGCCTAACCTCTTCTTCGATCTAACTGTTACTGTAAAAATCTGGGGCGGGGTACAGGGGAGAAGAAGAATTAGGGTTTTATCGTGTGAAGCGTTTTATATCCAAGCCGGAATTTTGAAGTGAGGGTAAAATTGTCATGACATTTGGAAAAAAATTTGGAAAAAATTCCCCAACCTTTAGATAATAGAACATTTAGGTCTACAATTTTTTATATTGCCCGTTTGATGGGAATTAAAATCTAAATTTTTAATCTAAATTTAAGTTAAAGTCAAAAATTAATTTCAATATTTTATGTATCATAACATTTACAACCAAAGATTTTATTAACTTTTATCAAAATTTACTAAAAAATTAATTTCAATCCCACCAAACATGGTCATTGTAACATTTTGATTATTATTTGACACGGCTTTAGGTCTATGAGTAAACTATAGGATGGCTCTCCCCGTTGGCCTCTCGTCTAGGATTTTTGAAAAATGAGATGAGATTAAAATAATTTAATTTTTTGTCAATTTATTTAGCCTTCATTTGCGTAACAATTTATAAATAAAAGTTATAATGGGTTCGAAGGGAATCGTGTCTTCATCCCAATTTTGATTCGTGGTCAAGACATTTTGTAACAATAATAATATTTATAATTAGCGAGTGCATCGAGTTTCCTTAGGATCACTAAGGTGAGTATTCGAGCGTAAGTTTCAGGATCCCGTGAAATTAATCGAAATGCGCACAATTTGGTCCAAATATCCACAATTATTAAAAAATAATAATAATAATAATTAGCGACTGCATAATTTTAGAAAAATGAGAAGTGTCACACTAAATTTTGCGATCTCCCCTTTTATACCCTTCTTCCACTTTGCCGTCTAGTTTACGGCTTTACGCCAATGACATCAAACCAAAATTACACGTGTCAAAAACCTATGGCACCTCATCAAGCCTCTCTTTTCTTTGCCGTGAACAAATGTACTACTTTCCCTACAAATACCTTTCCCCACACCTATTTCCTGCATTGCAATCTCAATTTAGGGAAAAAAATAGAATTCACAAGTCATCCGAATCAATTATCAAGGTAAGTTTCTTATGTTCATCTAATTTGTTTAATTGATTTTGGGATCAAAATCTTAGTTTGTAAACATATTGTATCGTTCCTTGGTGGTGGAATTTTTTCTCTTTTTGATTATTTTCTTGAAAGCCCTTCATCCCACTTTGAAAGTAATTTATTTTATGATAATAGCATTTTTTTTTTAAATATGAGACATTAAATTGTATTTTTGATACCCATGTGAAAGTAAATTATTTGTGTTAGAATCAAGGTATTAATGTTTTGATTATAGGTTTTTTGGTTAGTATAAGATCTTGAATTGTATTCTTGAAAGTTTCGTTTTTGTTAGTATACGACCTTATTCTTGAATGCCCTTTATTTCATGGTGAAAGGTAAATATTTGTGTTAGAATCTTGAATCAATTTTATGATTATGGCTTTGTTTCTTTCAAATACATTTTACCCCAATTAATGGGTGCTGGAAATTTTAGTATGTAATCTGAGATCTTGAATTATATTCTTGAAAGCCCTTCATCCCATTGGTGAAAGTAAATTATTTCCTTATGTAATCTGAGATCTAGATTATAACTTAACCCAACGGTGAAATGAATTATTTGTTTTAGAATTTTGTTATAACTTTATGATTACGTCTTTGTTTTGCTAAAAAAGTTTTCTTACCCCAATTAATGGTTGCTAGATATTTTAGTTCTGTAATCTAAGATCTTGAATGATACAGATGCAGATCTTTGTTAAGACCCTTACTGGCAAGACCATAACTCTCGAGGTCGAAAGTTCAGACACAATTGATAATGTTAAAGCTAAGATTCAGGATAAGGAAGGAATCCCTCCAGACCAACAACGTTTGATCTTTGCCGGTAAACAACTAGAGGACGGCCGGACACTAGCGGACTACAACATCCAGAAGGAGTCCACCCTCCACCTGGTTCTCCGCCTTCGTGGTGGCATGCAAATCTTCGTCAAGACCTTGACAGGAAAAACAATAACCTTGGAAGTTGAGAGTTCCGACACAATTGATAATGTTAAGGCAAAAATTCAAGATAAGGAAGGAATCCCTCCAGACCAACAAAGGCTTATATTTGCAGGCAAACAACTTGAAGATGGAAGGACCCTTGCGGATTATAATATCCAGAAGGAGTCGACCCTTCACCTTGTGTTGAGGCTGAGAGGTGGCATGCAAATTTTCGTCAAGACATTGACGGGGAAAACTATAACTTTGGAGGTTGAAAGTTCGGACACAATTGATAATGTGAAGGCAAAAATTCAAGATAAGGAAGGAATTCCGCCGGATCAGCAGAGGTTGATCTTTGCCGGGAAACAGCTTGAGGATGGGAGGACCCTTGCAGACTATAATATCCAGAAGGAGTCAACCCTTCACCTTGTGCTTAGGCTGAGAGGTGGCATGCAAATTTTCGTCAAGACATTGACAGGGAAAACTATTACTTTGGAAGTTGAAAGTTCAGACACAATCGATAATGTTAAGGCGAAAATTCAAGATAAGGAAGGAATTCCACCAGACCAGCAGAGGTTGATCTTTGCCGGGAAACAACTCGAGGACGGGAGGACTCTTGCCGATTACAATATCCAAAAGGAATCAACTCTTCACCTTGTGTTGAGGCTCAGGGGTGGTTTTTGAGCTAGCGTGTGAAAGATCAGGTGTCTTAAGTAAGCAAGATTATGTATGTTTGTGCTGGTTTATTACAAGACCGTTGCTCTTCTTGTTTTTCTTTCCTCTATGACTGGTTTGTGAACATGTGAATGAATTGTGGTTGCTTTCAGAATTTAATAAAATAGTGTTTTTGTCTAGAATTCTGTCATGATGAGCACAACATTTTGTGGATTGCTGCATTGTATATTGCATGTGCTTCTGGGAATAGCCTTGTTGCATTGAAACTCGATCTACTGTCTACTGATATCGTTCATCAGTAGAGGATTAATTGCAAGTGAAATTTCTTTTGCCTAGTGTTCAATATAACTTGAAATTCTAAATAATAATATGTAATGCCAAAAATATGATGTTACATGAAATATAATGAATGCAATGACTCGATACAAATGGTAACACGATACAGCATATACAATCCAATTAAAATTTGTAATGAAATACCTAAACCAATTTATCGCTGCCAATCTTGAGATATTATCACAGGACGAACAAAGAACCCCGAACTCTGAATCAGTCCCATGGACTTAACCAACATTCCTCAGGCAATGTTGGGTATCTTTCAGTATCCATGCAATAATCATATATTACAAGGTTTCTTTGTACCCAAGCATAATCCTTTTTCTTGTCATCTGAAAGGTGCCAGGCATTGTACTGATCCCACCAGTTATCAGTGGTGGTGGATACACAGGCAGGGAAAGGGTCTTCCCATTGACAACCATCTGCAGTGAAGTCCTTATAAGATGACACAAAGGGTGCCTTTTCCCAGTCTGTCTTCTCAAGGCCGCCTCTCGTAGCCCAGTCGTCTGCATTCCAGATGCTTGAGAATAAGTACATTGGCTTCTCGTTTGGGAAGAAGTTGTTCGTGTAGTTTGCATTTTTGTATACTCTTATTGGAACTCTATCCACGAAAAACCTGTCATGGAAAGTAACTAGAGGTGAGTTTTCGTCAATGGATGCATCCACTTCTCGCTATATATATTTTAGGAATTGCAAGAAATTTCTAGCTCCCTCAAATCCTGCACTTAGGAAACTAGGATGACCTAATCCAAAAAAATGAATGCCCAACAGGTTGATGCACATTCAATGAGGTATTTGAACATATAATTAAGCTTCATACAGTCCAAAATTTCACTTCGATCTCAGGATTATTATTGATGCAGCATTACCTTTCACTTTTGCAACTAGTCAAGTACAAAGAAAAGGCAAACACAACGAATAAAACAGATGCTTACACTATCTGATGATTGTTCCATAGAATGGAATAGGAGTGGAAATCTTCAGTGGGGTCATACCACAAACTGTGCCTCATTTCACGCCCACCAGTTCCATTCTTGTACACATTTGTTTGTAATAGATAAGGTTGCCCACTTCTATTCCCCAAGAACTCAAAATCCAGTTCATCTCTCTCTGGCCCTGCTGCATTTTCAGTACACATCTGCATCAAACACAATTTTCCATTAGAATCATAAACTGTTCATTCATTCTTGTTGAGTATTGCATGCTCAACTTACATAATAAGCCGTTACGACTCCAGCCGAGTCGCCTCCCACCAGTTTCAGCTTCATGCTAAACCACCCAAATCTGTATCTTTGCTTGGTTATAAAACCACAACCTATGAACATTAAATACAAGAACCCTTCTAAGAAAAAATCATATTATGATAAAGATCAAATGATTATGTCATAAAGATATAAATACCTGCTTGTTTGTCCAAGGAGAGGTACCAGGTTGATCCATCATCAGAAGTCTTGAAATTGTTGTCTGGACAGCTTTTACTAAAATTATCTTCGAATGAATTTGAATTTGCTGCTTTAGATAATTTACCAAATACAGTAAAAAGAATTACAATGAAGAAAAGATTGACAAATGAACAAGCCCTTCTCTCCATTTGTGATAGAAGTTTGAACGAGCTTGAGAATTAGGCTTCTCAGCAGGATCTTGAAAAGTTATGAACTATAGTACTTTTTATGCACCATTTGACCAACGTATTTTAATGTTACTATACAACTTGCTATTTTTCATGTTATAAAAATCAGACATAACTATCGTTCATCTAGAAAAACTGAGTACACATCAAGAAACCGGTCCGATTATATATTAATATTGATTATTACAGAAATACACCGACAAGATTTAGAAAAAGATGGCCGGATCGAGTTTGAGGAGAAGCCAGGCTGCCTACATATGGTGAAGGTGGGGTCCAAATTGTTGCTTGTGAGAACGTGATTGCATTTGATTGGTCTTATAATGATCAAAGGTTGCCAACTGGTAAGGGTGCTTGTAAGAATAATTTGACAGTATAGCATTCATCGTGTTAAAGAGTGGCCAGCCAAGTCAACTGATTTTTAGTTAATTATGAGGGATTAAAGTTTGTAATTGTAATTTGACTTTCTTGATTGTCCTTAACTTTGGTTTGATTAAAATATGGTTTTTTGCCAAAAGCAGTGAAATTCTGAAGGGGAAAAGAGATACTCACAATTAAGTGGCTAACAAGATAACAGTTTATATGTTTTTAGTGCTATGTTATTTGAGATTTTGAGTGTGGGTCGTGTAACAACGATGAGTTATTCAGTTAAAACGGCTTAATTTTATTAGATTTGAATTTTTCTAAAAGCATATCGAATAAATTAGGTATTTTTTGGGGTCTATTTATCTGCTTTACAAGCTAGTTGGAAGAAATAAGTATTTCGTACCTTCATCATATTTTTCTCTCTTTGCATTTTGTATGACTCATTATTAAAAAATGTATAGTTGAAAATAATTTTCAAAAAATCTCTCCCCGAACACGCCCCTAAACTGTAATGAAGGGTTAACGTTAACAATTACTTGGTAATCCTATTGATCAGAACGTTTTAAAGTTGAACATGTTGTGGGATTAAAATAATTCTTAAAACCTTGACTCACTGTCACCAGTTTAATAATGGGATTAGAGCCACTTGCAATATGACAATATATTTTGAAAAAAGCTACTTGTACAAAAAGAATTTGACAAAAATGTTGACAAACACTCACATGATTGCCGGCCCCACATGAATAAAAAATTGAAAATAAAAAGTGGGCCCCCCCACAAGTGAGGGTTTGTCAACATTTTTGTACAAATTCTTTTGTACAAGTAGCAA